AATTAAATTAGTATTTATTTAGGGTTAGGTTAGGTTAAGACACTTTCTGGGTTGAGCGCTGCGGCTATAAGGGGGCCGAGCGCTGCGGCCACATGCATATAGTCAATTATATCCATGTCCTACATATAGGATTACTATATATTTAGGGTTAGGTTAGGTTAAGACACTTTCTGGGCCGAGTGCTACGTCTAGGGCAGGCTAGGGGGCGAGCGCTGCGGCTAGGACAGGCTAGGGGGCCGAGCGCCTCAGCTAGGACAGGATAGGGGGCTGGGCACTTGGCCACATGGTCAGATCCTTTTCTTACATTTAAGATCCATGTACAAAATTGATAGGAGAGGGGGCGGGTGAGTCCAAAAATTGTTCTCTAGGAAATTACCAAATTTTATATTAACAGGAAAATTATACAAACCTTTGTTATTGTCAAGTCTTACGTTTTAAACATAGTTTTTTTGTCCATTTGAACTATTTTTATGTCTATTTGAACTTGTTTCTGGTCCATTTGAACTATTTTTGTGTGCATTTGAACTTTTTTTTGTGTTCATTTGAACCATTTTTTGTCCCATTTTAACAATTTTTTTCTTCATTTTGAACTATTTTTTGTCCATTTGAACTATTTTGATGTCCATTTGAACTATTTTTTATCCATTTGAACTATTTTTACTGTCCATTTAAAATATTTTTTTTGCGTATTTGAACTATTTTTTTGTTCATTTGAAACATTTTTTTGTCCATCATTTTTTGGTCCATTTGAACTATTTTTTTGGCAATTTGAACTATTTTTGAGTTCATTTGAACTATTTTTTTGTCCATTTGAACTATTTTTTTGTCCATTTGAACTATTTTTTTGTTTATTTAAACTATTTTTGTGTTCATTTAAACTATTTTTTTGTTCATTTGAACTATTTTTATGTCCATTTGGAACTATTTTTATGTTCATTTTAACTTTTTTTTGTCATTTTCATTTGAAATATTTTTTTCTCATTTGAACTATATTTTTCTCATTTGAACTATTTCATTTAAACTATTTTTAAGTTCATTTGAACTATTTTTTTGTTCATTTGAATTATTTTTGTGTTCATTTGAACTATAATTGGAACTGATGTGAGAATTTTCATTAAAACTCCTGAATTTTTATTCACACATTTAAAATTTTCAACTCATACAACCTATGAATATTATATTTTTATCTAATAGTTAACATCAATTACCAATGTGTTTGGTGTGATATGCTTATGATAAGTTTTGATTTGATATATTTAGTGAACAAATTTTTTGTTGTGCTCCACAGGTTTCTCTCAAATATTAATATTCTAATATTTCAGTTTGTTAATAATGTTCACATAATTCATGAATCAAATTTATCAATTTATGTCGTCTTTTTCAGGAGTACACGTGGATCAGGAATTTGATCCTCTGCAATCTGAACCAAAGAAATTCAAGAGGGGTAATGATGGATATCCATGTAATGAATGTGAGTACGTAGCTTCAAGATCTGATCATTTGAAGAGACATGTTGAAAATAAGCACATAATTTCATAGTCTTCCAAAGTTCATTTCTCACTAGCACAGTCTTGAGCTACAAGTTAAGCGAAATCCTCTCCAACCAACAGAACCAGCACAGGCAAGGTTCCTGCATTAACACCCTGTAGTTTCCATACAACTCTTGAATATCCAACAAATTTCAGAAAATGAAATTAAAAAAAATCTTACTTCGGTTTAATTGATGGATTGTATCTGTGCCTCCAGCACATCCATCCTCTCGTCAAGGGCGAGAGTAAGATTTACTTTGTTCTGGTTTCAATACTGATCTCCACGTCTCAAGGAAACTTCTCAGGGCAAGAGATCAAGGATTACAGGTTATGGAGATCCACGTCTCCAAGTATAAGGTTCTAATCCTTTCTCCAGATGAAAGAGCGAGAACCACGTCTCGATAAAGCAGATCTAAACATTCAATACTTAGAATGTGGTTTCCCTAGAGGATATTTTCATCACATTAATAATCTCTTACTTTATATATAATGATGCTTTACAGACGCCTCAAACGTCTCCGTCAGCAATCAAGTATAGGATAGATTTGACTCCAGAACTCACAGTCGCAGGGTGCAGAAATACATCAACGTCTCCAGGTTTAATACAGGTTTGGAACAACTCCACTGTTAATCTCGGGCTTTTAGTAGAACAACGTCCTCAGGTTTCAGCCTAAACAATTCCCTGTATTTGCAAAGTAAACCTTTTGAATAGAGCTAAATGTTGACTTGATCTTACTTGAAATAGTTTGGTTGATTGATTGACCTTCTCCAACAGTTCAAACTAAGGTTTCTTGATCAACCACATACTCCGGGTTAAACAGTCTCGATCAGTCTAAATTCAGAAATTGCATTTTTCACGGAGGTTTTAGAACTGTAAAGGAGCTTACATTAGTTACAGGGTAGGTAGGAAAGGCAGAACAAAAGGTTGAGAGAAGCACTCCGGACCAGTAACGTCATCCCGTCCTCGATCAAGATCTCCCCCATAATACTCTCCAAGTCCAACTCAACCTCGGCCTACATGACAGATCTTGTAACTCATTGTGCTTTATTTTAAATTTGTTATTTACACACCTTATATTGTTCGGTGAGAACCCGTCACTTCGTATAAAATTCACATTATTCAGTAGTAAATTCTGGAATAAAAACTCAATTATTATGGGTTTAAAAACACGGTTTAGGTGTGGCACAGATACATATCACATGATTATTAAGTCTTTAAACATTTAAAACATTAATTTTCTTTCTTTACTTTTACATGTTTTATTCTTTTAAATAATATCCTTGTGAAGGTTGTGAAAATGTTACGACTCATTCTCAGTATTTAAGAAAGCACAAACAAAGTTCCATTAGTAAGGTTAAATGAGAGTAATAGGCCTATATATATATATATGTGTTAAATATAAAATAGAAACAAGATTAAGTCACTCTGTCTTGGAATCTATCCAGCACTAATTTCTGTCCTTGTAGTGATGTGGCGATGTAGGAACCAGTGAAGACTTGATGAACCAGCACATGGAAACCTAAAGAATTTAGATATAGATTCAACACTGCCGGCGAGAAAACTGGATTCATCAGGGATTCAATCCATTAGTTTCTTTCACTTTATCTATTCACACTGGGTTCCTGAAAAAGAAATGTACTCCAGCATCCCTGGATGCCTGGTTAAGTTCTTCAATTAGCTCCAGGTCACCCTCATGGTGTAACACTGCAATCTTCCTAGCAGATCTTCTTGTACTTCTAAATGTAGCCTCATTGTTATTCTTATAGGAAATAATCACAGCACGTATAATCCCGTCAGCAGAGTACTCAACATCATCAACCCGACCCATCCTCCAAACAGGTTCCCCAAATCCAGCCTCAGCCTCTGTCTTTAAGAAAATAACAACATCTCCAACAGAGGGTTGTTTAGAGGTTGTTTTCCATGTCGGAGATTGAGGAATATAATCCACAATCCTCTCAGTAGCCCACACATTCCACCAACTTTTATACACTCGATCCATTTGATCCATAAGCCGAGATGGGACATCAATCTTTGCATATCCGCCCAGAGACCGACGGTTATTTCGACCCAACAGCAACCTAGAAGGGGTGATAAGGTCCACATGGTCAAGGTTTGAAGTTCTGCTTCCCATACAGATTGGAAAACAATTCAATTCGTTCGAGATCCAAGCAAAACACGTCTCATAAGATATCAGGTCAAGCTTGAACCCAGAGAACACCCTGCCTAACAATACTTTAATGTCTCTAATACTGCGTTCAACGGCTCCATGGGCATTATGTCCTCCAACTGGACAGGTTTGATAATCCACTCCAACCTGATACTTTGTCGATAGTTCTCTTGATATGTCAACAATAGAGATCTCAGCCTCCTTACACGCTTTCACGAGCTGACTACCAGCATCGATGAATAACTTCGCAGGGTGCCCATAACGAGAACTGAATCTTGTGTACGCTTGAAGAAATGCAGATGTACTATAATTTTGCATCATGTGGATTGCAACAGCCAAGGTCGACGGGTCCTTGAAGACGAGGCCATAGCACTTGACTGTACTTCTGTGGTTGTGTTCACACATGGCTTGATAGGGCCCAAATAGGTCCACTTGAACCAGGTAAAATGCAGGGGCAACAGTTAATCTGTTCTCATGGAGGGGTCCCATTTCAACCTCTAAAAGCTTAGCTCTATACCTCCTACAAGAAACACAATTCTCCCTAACCTCTATGGATAAATCACGTCCTCGAAATATATACGCAATAGCTCGGGATTCCCTCAAGGTACAAATTGCATTTCGGTGTTTACTCACTACTCCATGTGCATGTAACATTATCGAATAGGCGACTGGAGAAAATCTGTCCAAGACTGGTCTAACAAATGATAGAGGTTGGAGGTCAAGCATTGCCTCCTCAGGGTCCTCGATAGTTTGACCGTCAAGAATTCTGCTAGTATAGAACAAAATCCCCCCTTTCTCAACAGTACACCCCTGGAAATCTTTTTTAGAACAAAAATGCTTCACCTCATCAGATCCAAGTTTGAAGAAATAGTTTTCCCCCCAGAGAATATCATCGCCACCCAGCTCTAAGGGGTTGGCTGCCACCGTGTCCACCAGGTCCACAGCTCCTTCAGGTTTCACAGGGGGCCTCCATACTGGTGAATACCTTGATAAGACTTTACGAATAAACCTCAAAACGTAACTCATAATCCTAACCACGAACTCCCAGCTGTACTTGTTGGGGTCCACCAGGTACTCACTGAACCCGTACCTGTCGGCCACCTTAGTTCTCAGAGAGTGGATTCTTACCCCGTGGATATCAGAGGCTTTCATTTCTTGAGCAGCAAGACGTTTCTGCTCTCCATTCATCGTAATCTCAGAGATAGTCTTGATAGGCATTTCTGCCTCCTCCATTTTCATCCATTCTGCTCCATTTTGCCAAATGGAGGTTGGTCCAAGGTCAGACACCTCACACCATCTTGTTCCTATGTCTGCAACATTCAGCTCTGTCTCAATGTGGAACCATCTACTAGCATTAGAAAACCTATGGATTTCAACTACTCCATTTCGAACTCCAGTTTGCAGGGGGCGTTGATCCTGTTGGATCCAGTATAATACAATTGTTGAATCCGTTACATATAAGGAAGTATTTAAAACTGCACCTAGGTTAGATCGAACTACATGACTAATACAAGCCCCCATTACTGCCCCTTTCAGCTCTGCTTTAGGTATTGTATTTGTACTCACCAACCTCGACTTTGCTGCCATCAGTTGAACATGAAAGCCTCCCTGCTGAAGTCGAACACGTGTGTGTACACATGCGACAGCAATGTTCTCCGATGCGTCTGTTGAGGTGATCATATCCACCTGGCATTCCAGAGCATCAGGGGGAATCACTGCTCGTCGAAATCTTATCTCTTTGGCAGCTTCTATATCACTAAGATTTCTCACCCATGTATCCAAGTATTCGTCAGGGATCTTGTCATCCCAATCCAAACCTAGCAAGGTCACAGATCGGAGGTCAAGCTTGAGCCTCGAGGTTAATGGAGTCAACAGCCCCATCGGATCCCAAAACTTTGCAACCTGTCCCCACAGGGTTCGCCTAGAAAAAACTGAGGACAAAGCGGTTTTTACATCACCAGTCACTAGTTCAGGGGCCTTACCCCGTTTCATTTTACCAAAATACAAAGGTTTCACATCAATCCCTATCTGGTCCTTCTCACTGTCCCATAACAAACCCACAACCCCAACATGAACCCCATCTCCAGACACTAGTTCAGATGGTTTGCTTCCACTCCAGGTTATGGATTTAACTCCCAGGCCAGCCTGAGTCAGTACAAAGATTAAACTCTCCGACTCGTTCTTCATGCTGATCTCATCTTCACAAGAACGAACTGCATCATCAACATATGTGTTAGATATAAGCACGTCCGCACCTTCAGCGTGCTCCGGGTACTCCTTGATACAGTAATCCGCCAATTTGTTGAACCCAGCCATAAGTTGATTTCCCGACGGACGGACTCCGTAAATTAAAGTTTTTACGACCATGATCCTCACAGGGTTCTCCGGGTTCAAATCCTCCTTCCACAAATACTTTTGGAATCTATAATGTTCTGGTTTCAATTTGATTCCGTTGTATGCCATGGATACATCTCCGGTGAAGGCAAAGGGGAGGGTTCGAAACCGGATCAAAATAGAGAGAAGGTTGCTTAACTTATTCTCACCCTTAGCCAGAATATTATTTAAACATTCACCACCTGGGGTCGTGCTGGACGCATCGAAAACCATTCTGCACGGAGTCGACAAACTACTTGCATTCCAAACTGTTCTCCAAGGTATATAATAACCAGGTTCCTCTAGAGCACATTCACGGACATCCTCAGGGAGTTCATCAAGTGGCATAACATGTCCCTTATCTCTTAACTTGTTGTGCGATGCAAGGACGTCTAGTCTCGTCTGTTCACTTTTTGCAGCACCCTTGACTTGAGTTTCCAAGATCTTGAAAGCTCTGTTAAAGTTATTTTTTAAATTTCCCTCCGGAGATTTGATAAAGGGGAGGACGGCCTCCAAGCACTTGCTCTCAGCATTATAGTTGACAGACTCCTCAATGAGAAACTGCTCGGCTTCCTCCCTCAAGCTGACCTTCTCCATGATTTCACCCTTCTTGCAATCAAATCAATTTCTGCACCTCATGCATCGGTAAGGTATTTCGGCTCCAAGAGCTTCAGCCCCTACGAAATCAAGAGGATTAGAAACGAAACATCTCTCCATGTCCTCCGACCTCCACCCAACTGGAGCTTTCCATCCTATCTCGTCGTTGTGTTTTTTGCAATGGTTGTTAAAGCATTCAGAACGGAAAAGGACGGACTCCTCCATCTCAAACATCTCCTCCATGCTGAGCTCCTCCACGTCGTGGTTAACCCCGGTGTAGAGGTGGTTGATAGTAGAATTTTCAACGAAGTATGCTCTAGCCTCTGCAGTAAAAAACGCTCTCGGTCCCATAGAATTCGATCGGAGTTCAGCATCCCTCCAAGCTCGATGTGGGCCCCCAAGTATAGTTGTTTCTCCATTAGAAGCGTGAAATCTTGATCTATACACAGCCAACCCACATGGGAGGCTGAATAAGTGCTCTGGGAACAGTGTTAAGTACCTCATTCCTATCATGACATCCACAGATGCTCCTCCTATCTTCTTTGGTGCTGGAGCCAGAGGTGGACCGTCAGGAAAAGCTCCGCCATGACCTGCTAAAACCTCCGCCCAGACCTCCTCCAGGTTCCACTCTGGGAAGGGCGTAGTAATCTCCGGCATTCTCAGGGCTGTCATGGTTGCAACCGATTTTTTATCCCTGAGAAGTAAGCTAAACCTTTCATCTCCGGTCTCAATTTCAATTGTAGCAGCTCCTGCAACGGACATAAATGTAGGTCCGGGGCGGACACATTCGGTATCCAACACTCCTGCTGCCCTCTCGTTAATAGCAGCTCCGGCGCAGCCTGAGTCGTAGAAGACCAACAGTTTTGACTCATTTACAGTGACATATTGGAGCATAAAAATGGCAGGATTCATTTGATCAGGGATATCAGCGGCTCTAGAAGGCTTGTGCGAGGGCGGAGGGGGCGGAGGATTAACGTTATATACCTGTGGGAAAAATGTGAAAAATTTTGTTCCCTGAGGAATAAGCTTCGGATCCAGGCTCTTGACAAAATCCCCCTCGTACTGTGCATTTTCATTTGCATGTCTCGCACACATAGTAAAATGCCTCTGTCGATTTAAGTCCTTCTGCAGACACTCGGTTTGAGGACAAACCCAACTTGTATCACAGAACTCCTGGTGTTGAATCTCCCACTGTATTCGGTTGTTAAAGTCAACCTGACTGTCCAATCTTAAGCATTTGAAACAGCTTTTGGTTTTGGCTGCTACTTTAAACCGCTCCGACCCCTTACTGTTTATAAATATAGGGCAATAATACACATGAGTGTGTTTATCAGGACAAGAAGGACAAGGTTTGGCCACAGGATTATCCGAACCTTGGCTGTAGCTCCGAGGACCTCCTCCACCTCCATCTAGAGGTGCTACTTGATACGATTTCTTTGCTGCAGGCTTAGGTATGCCTGGTTTAGGACCTTCTCGCTCTTTCTGTGATGTTTTAGCCTCACTTTCACCAGCAGTAAGGGAAAAATTAATCTCGAATGTCAGCGAATTTACAATCCAATCCATATGGTCCAAGAATTTTTCGAAAATTTGCTTCCTTGAGAAATTACCAGCTTCGTCTTCCTTCTTTAGTTTATCCTTGAAATCTTCTAACAGACGCCATGGCAGGGCCCTCTGCAGCTCCGGAATCACCGGAGAAAAATACAACTCATCCTGCAGATTATGCTTATCGACGAGCTCCTTTAGAAGGGTCAACTTGCTCCTGACGGTCACCGCCCAGTCCCTCTTCTTGAGGTTCGTGCCCTGGCAGGTTCCAAGCTCCCGCAGATCTTGTACTCTCCTGCTTAGTAGTAGACGAGGGTTGCCATAATTTGTTTTTAAATACTTCATCACTTCTTCCACAGACTTGAAATCCCGGCAAGCGGATTGGGCAGGTCCCTGGAGACAAGTTCTCGTCAAGACTCTCAACGCTTGGCTCCACGACAACCCTTTCACAGAGACATATTCATCGAAATCTAATCGGAAGGTGTAGTAATCTAATTCACTCAGTTCTCCGCTGAACAATGGAGGTTTCAGATCAACTTCTAATGATTTAGCTCCCCCTGCCGCTCCTATTAGTCCCAGATTCACCTTACAGTCGTTCATCATAGTGTCCACCTCCCACTCTGATTCTCTGACCTTCCTGCTCATATAGTCTATAGAGCTGGCCAGGCCTGGTTCATTAGCTTCAACTGCATCTTCAATCAAAGTTTTTGCATCAGCAATTAATGATTTAGACTTTCTCACTGCTGTGTCAAATCTATCCCTAGCGGTTCTAAATTCTGCATCAGTACAGGGTCTTCTACTTCCAATTGCATTGAGCTCATCTCGAAGGGAAGTAAGAGCCACAAGTGTGTCATCTCCATATCGACGAACCTTATCTGCTTTAAAGACTCGGGACGCTTCGCTCCTTGAGGGGTTTACAGCTCCTCCTGGTATAGAATTGATCCCCAATACCGTTGGAGAAGGATCCATTCTCTTTTCTCGATCCTTCAACTCTTTGCTAGCCCCTCTAATGAAGGATAATAACATTTTCTTTGCTAGTTCCGCTTCGGTTCTTTTTCCATCAGGAAAAATATCTGGAGATTCATTTTCTAATATTAACATTGAGCTCTGTGATTTTTTCTTCAAGAGCTCTGCATCCTGGAGCATGCTATTTAAATGATCAGAAGCAAGATCAGCAGGATCAACATCTTTGTAATCATCCTCAGCAAGCATCTTAACTTCAGCATGGTCGGCAAGCGCCTGACGTACCAACTCTTCATGTGTCATTTCAATTCGTGGAACACTAAATCCGGTACTTGTGGAATGATTCGGGGCATCGCCAGGTCATCGTTCTCTGAAGAAGGTTGGCAAGGGTTCTCGGTTATCCCATCCTAGGGAACCTCCAGACTGGAAAACATCATCTTCTGGAACCCTAGTTAGCGGGGAATGTATTCCTCGCCGCGCACTAGATACAGGTAGTCCAGTGGCCTGGTCAAATCCAACCACAGGAGACGTAGGCTCACTCGGTGGGATCGGGTTCTTTCTTGTGTTCATGGGCATTGCTTCACTGCAAATTTTCCACTGTGCATTCTTGCCTGGTTGTTGCTAAGGAACCAGGAGTGCTTCGCGCGCTAATGCGGAGCGCTGGTCAACTACGCCCATTCTCACTCGTTTAGCTCTGCAATTATTCACAATTTGAGCAATGTTTCTTATAATCTCCTATGCTGCAGATGTCATACGGTGGAAACTGAAATACAAAATAAAAATTATTATTTTACCACCCGTACAACTCATACAACATATTTACATTTATAAATCTGTGCCACCCTTTACATTCCAAGTTTGTTCATTGAAAATACAATAGTTTTAAAAGAATCCATAAACTTACATTTGGTGCGTTAGTTGATTTTTCAGTTCATAGTCTTCCAAAGTTCATTTCTCACTAGCACAGTCTTGAGCTACAAGTTAAGCGAAATCCTCTCCAACCAACAGAACCAGTACAGGCAAGGTTCCTGCATTAACACCCTGTAGTTTCCATACAACTCTTGAATATCCAACAAATTTCAGAAAATGAAATTAAAAAAAATCTTACTTCGGTTTAATTGATGGATTGTATCTGTGCCTCCAGCACATCCATCCTCTCGTCAAGGGCGAGAGTAAGATTTACTTTGTTCTGGTTTCAATACTGATCTCCACGTCTCAAGGAAACTTCTCAGGGCAAGAGATCAAGGATTACAGGTTATGGAGATCCACGTCTCCAAGTATAAGGTTCTAATCCTTTCTCCAGATGAAAGAGCGAGAACCACGTCTCGATAAAGCAGATCTAAACATTCAATACTTAGAATGTGGTTTCCCTAGAGGATATTTTCATCACATTAATAATCTCTTACTTTATATATAATGATGCTTTACAGACGCCTCAAACGTCTCCGTCAGCAATCAAGTATAGGATAGATTTGACTCCAGAACTCACAGTCGCAGGGTGCAGAAATACATCAACGTCTCCAGGTTTAATACAGGTTTGGAACAACGTCCACTGTTAATCTCGGGCTTTTAGTAGAACAACGTCCTCAGGTTTCAGCCTAAACAATTCCCTGTATTTGCAAAGTAAACCCTCTGAATAGAGCTAAATGTTGACTTGATCTTACTTGAAATAGTTTGGTTGATTGATTGACCTTCTCCAACAGTTCAAACTAAGGTTTCTTGATCAACCACATACTCCGGGTTAAACAGTCTCGATCAGTCTAAATACAGAAATTGCATTTTTCACGGAGGTTTTAGAACTGTAAAGGAGCTTACATTAGTTACAGGGTAGGTAGGAAAGGCAGAACAAAAGGTTGAGAGAAGCACTCCGGACCAGTAACGTCATCCCGTCCTCGATCAAGATCTCCCCCATAATACTCTCCAAGTCCAACTCAACCTCGGCCTACATGACAGATCTTGTAACGCTCATTGTGCTTTATTTTAAATTTGTTATTTACACACCTTATATTGTTCGGTGAGAACCCGTCACTTCTTATAAAATTCACATTATTCAATAGTAAATTCTGGAATAAAAACTCAATTATTATGGGTTTAAAAACACGGTTTAGGTGTGGCACAGGTACATATCACATGATTATTAAGTCTTTGAACATTTAAAACATTAATTTCTTTCTTTACTTTTACGTATTTTATTCTTTTAAATAATATCCTTGTGAAGGTTGTGAAAATGTTACGACTCATTCTCAGTATTTAAGAAAGCACAAACAAAGTTCCATTAATAAGGTTAAATAAGAGTAATAGGCCTATATATATATGTGTTAAATATAAACTAGAAACAAGATTAAGTCACTTTATCTCGAAATCTATCCAGCACTAATTTCTGTCCTTGTAGTGATGTGACGATGTAGGAACCAGTGAAGACTTGATGAATCAGCACATGGAAACCTAAAGAATCTAGATATAGATTCAACAGACGTTAACAGTTAATTACATTTACAGAATCCTTTGCATAGGTAACCCTATATCTAATCAGGGACGTTTTTCTGTAGGGGGACGTTATGTATCCAGTATCCAGTATCATGCACCTAGTATCATGTACCCAGTATTTAGTTTGTATATATGTATGAAGCCAATTTTTTACAGATTGATTCTTGCTGAAAAAGTTTAAACCCTCTTACGTGAACTGAACACAAAAGACAATGAATGAAAAATTGAATTTTAATGTTTATTTTCAAAAATGGGATTTTTTTCGAAAATTGTGCTGATTGTTCAGATTTTTAAAAAAAATGTACGGATCTTTAAAAAAATGTACGGATTGGTTTAAAAAAATGTACGGATTGGTTTAAAAAAATGTACGGATTGTACGGATTTTTAAAAAAAAATTGTACGAATTGTTTTTCGAAAATTGTACGGATTGTACGGATTTCTTCTGAAAATGTACGGATTTTTGTACGGATGGGTTCAAAAAAGTTTTGGCCACCCTGTAAATATAAACATAATTAACATGATATATTTATAAAATGTGATGAACGGTAAAATGTTGTGACCAGATAAAGTTATTTGACAGAATACATTAAATTCCAATATTTCAAACTGTTATCTCTGGTAAAATGTTACGACCAGATAAAAGGATTTGAAGCATTAAATGAGTACTTTATAAAAGGTTAAAACATCTGTTTCAAAAGGAACATGAGAATATTTTACGAAATACAATGGTGTCCCAAGCTTTCTAATATAAATCATACATTTGATGGCGGTTTGGGTTTCTCAAACGCTGATCCAAATGTCTTCTGTTTGGGGTTTTATCGGTTTTCAAGTTCTCCGGGTTTCCTGCGAATGTAAAGAACTATAGATTTCATTGTGGATATTGAGTTGATGTAGATTAGGTTTATTAGATAATAACCTTTTAAGTGTGTCCTGTGAACACTGCGGACTGCAATTCTTCCTTGATTCTGTAGAATGAAAGCACATAGATCAGAATACTCCTGAATAAGTTTAAAGTCAGGTTTAGAACAATCTTATTCGTTATAAAATAATTTATTGAAGTCAGGGGTAATATTCACCTTCTGGAATTGATCTGGAAACAATCCCTCAAGAGCAACAGTGGTACGTGGTATAGAAATGAACGTACGGTCGTCCTTAGATTCTTTCTGCCTGCATAGGAATTATTGGTAATCTAACGTTTAACACAAGTTAGATTTAAACAACACCTAGGAGGGTTTCCAGACGAGCTGTGTGCTGTAGATCACCGTGAGATCCCGTTAGATCACCGGAAGATCTTTGTTAAAGCTGACTGAGGTGTAAATAGGTGAATATAAGTAGTAGGATCAAACTGTAGATGTGGAGCCCTGGTAAAGATATCTTGTATCAGTCCTGTTCCGCATCTAAAGATCGATCAGTTGAAATCACGTTTCAACATCGATTATCTTCTTCAAATGAATACATTTCAATAAGTTCTGTTTATTGACACGCTTGTGTTTGTGAGACAACCCTAGCCTCTTTTGGAGCCTCAAGATCTCCGGGTTATGCTGATCACTCTAGATGATAAAGTGGATCAAACAATTGTAATAAATTAATGAATCCAATTCTTTATATGATCTCCGAACAAAGTTTTGATAACTATTTTTACCTTGATTGTCATTTGCATTAACGGATCACGTCTTGAGATAGGATTAGGGAGTAAGTCTTTACTGATCTTGATCTACCATGATCATCTGCAACATGACGATCATCATTTACCATGAAAGCTTCTTTACAATTTGAATCTCTTATTGATTAGAGGCTACTGAATCCAGTTCTGAGGATGAGGAGGATGATCTTGAGGATGAGAGGATGAGGCAGGAGGCTGTAGCTGAGAAGGAAAGAGGGAACTCCTTCTTTAAACTTGGAAACTACGATATGGCAATAGAGAAATACACAAGAGGTCAGACTGTACATTCAAATTGTATTTATCGATTGATTGATTTGGTTGATTGATTGATTCATTAGCTGATTGATTGATTTGATTAATTGATTATTAATTGATTCATTTATTCATAAATTGATTGATTTATTGATTGATTGATTGATTGATTTATTAGGAATGCAGCTAAATCCTTATTGTCCTCTACTACCAGCCAATCGAGCCATGGCACTCCTTAAGGTAAACACTAAACAGTTTTTAAATATTGACAAATACGTGAAATTATTTTAAATTATTTCAAAATAAGTTTTTGTTTTCTGGTGACTTTTCGCTTACCTAAAAATCAAAACTTAGGATTTCGATTATTTCTAAAAAAATATTGTAGTTTCATCATACTAGCAGTATGGAGCAGCTGAACAAGAGTGCTGTCTCCCTCTAGCTATATATGTTATATTAACTCCTTGTAATTAGAAGCAGCAGTATGGAGCAGCGGAACAAGACTGCTCTCTGTCCCTCTCTCTAGATCCAACATATATTAAAGCTCTACAGAGAAGAGCATCTGCTAGACTAGGTAGGGTTATCAGTATGTATATTATACCCTTTTCTTATCCTCATGGTTTTTCTTTATTCTTATTCATATCATCAAAACTTTGTCCTTTTATTAACATCCTTATCAATGAAATATGGAGTCTTATCCTTATCCTTATCCATGAGATATGGAATAAGGATTAGAATAAGGACGTTTAACCTTAGGTGTATCTATAAACTTGTTCTTTTTGCTATCCTTACTCTTATTATTTTTCTTTTCCTTATCTATCTTCATCCTTATTTGTGAATCCTTATCTTTATCCTTATCTTTATCCATATCCTAATCCTAATCTTTATCCTTATCCTTATCCTTATCTTTATGCTTATCCTTATCCTAATCCTTATTTTCTTTAGGTGGGATCCAAGTCGTAGCCAATATTAAAGAAAAGCAACAGTATTAAAATATTTTTTTCCTACATAAATTTTTCCTGAAATATTCTAGGGTTGGGTAGGATAGAGGGTGCTGTACACGACTATGAGAAGATATTAGAGCTAGAACCTAATAATAAACCTGCTAAACTAGAACTGGAGAAAATATTGAACAAACTTGAACAGAAAGATGACTTTAAGGAAGAAAAGGAGAAGGAGGAGAAGGCTCAAGTTGAGAAACTAAATCTGAAAAATAACATGAAAGGTATGTTTGCAAGCATCAAGGCAACAGAGAGACTAGAACCGGAAAATGAATTTAATCCGTCCTTACTCCTGGGTTCCGGAGACGGAGAGAGGATAAAACCAGTCGGAGAAGTGAAACCCGTCCCGGCGCCCTGGAAGGAACCAGACCCTGATATACTCGTCCAAAGTATCCAAAAACCACCCCATCTCAGGTACACTGAAAGCCTACTGATTTACTGAAAGGGACTGTAAGCGTGAAATAAAGCGATCCTTCATGCAAAGATGGCAATGTCCAATTCACAACGGTGCCCTGTAAAAGCTTTTTCTAATCAAGTACAATTTGAGTTTGTAATTTAGAAAACTGATTATTTTTTATTGTGGTTTCTCTACAAAAGTGACTTAAAGTTAGTAAAACGACAATATCTTCCACATCATGGTTCAGCTAAAGGTTTCAAGGTTTAAGTTGGAAATTTGGCAATGCCATCATTGCATGGAGGGTCACTTGAAATTACGCTTACAGTCCTTTAAAACGTGTTTACCAATTTTAAAGATTGATTAAATTTTTTTTTCCAATCCAGTGTTTCTCTGGCGAAGGATTTTATGAAATACACTTTAAAGAAACATCGTTGTAAGATTATCAATTTTATGTTTCAAATTTCATAATCCTTCACTTACAAGTAAAATATGTTGTGAAAGTTAATCAAGTCTTTTTATAAATCTTATTTTTTCATAAATTCCAAGGATTTATGGTGTAATCATTTTCCCAGAATTGATTTACAGATCTTGATTATGAATATTTTAGGTCTAAGAAGCCCCTGAAAAGAATCGAGATTAAAGAATTTTCTGCTGACAATGAGAATAAGAAAACCAGTGAACCAACAAAACCAGTCCAATTATCGAAAAGAATTGAGATTGTCGAGGTGGAAGGAGAAACGGAATCCTTCAAAATTTCAGAAATCGACGAAAAATCTGCAAGCGCTGAAATTTTTGAAAAATCCACGATTAGTTGTCAGGAGGGAAGCTCCTCCGAGGTGTTCAGAAGTAAGTCCACAGGGCTCTGTCGGAGGGTGGAAAAGGAACTGAATGAGTCGATCCCTGGAACAGATGACGAAGGAACAGTGCCTCCAGTTCCTAAAGCATCAGCTCAGTTTTATAGAGATTGGAGATCATTAAAATCCAACCAACTTAGGAAATCATCTTTATCAAATGACTTACTTATTGGAATTAAAATTATAAAAAATTTATTTTAATTTCGGCATTTATTTTTTAATGGATCATTCTATTTACAAAATAGATTTCCAAAATTAATCTAATTTTATCAAGAAATAAAACCAAAATGGTTTTCAAATAAAAATATAAGAGGCTTAAAAGAATTGGAAAGTCTGGAATTCAAAAACTTTTTTCGTTTTGAAATCTTAAAAAGGTTAACTTAATTTTATTTGTTTTTGGATTGAATATTGTAAAATAACCTAAAAAACGAGCTTGGAGTGAATTTTTTAATGCTGTATTCAGTTTTCCATTATTGATATAGTCATGCCATTTCGTCTAAATGTATATTTTTCATGTTCCTATCCTAGTTTCAGTACCGTAACCCCCCCCCTTCCCCTCTGAGAAGGCATATTTAAATGTGGATAAAGTTGATTCTTTATGACTAGGCTGAAATATATTCTCCAGTTTTTAACTTCAAGCTATCCTGCCATATTTAAAAGTCAGATGGAGTCCATCACATTCTCCGAGATACTCTCAGTGCTAGTTCAAGGGGATCTTACCTCAGCAGCTGCAGCAGGTGTGCTAATTATATCACACCCCCCCCCCCCCCTCCTCCCAGACAATGGGATATCAGGGGGAGGGGCAGCAATATTGAGTTTACACCATAAACCTCTTATTCAACTAAAATAAGGTTCGGCTGATTTAGAATTTTTTAAAGAGAGTTCTTCGTAATATTGCGTTGAAGTTCTCAAATTCAGCGGAAAACTCTTTTTTTTTGTAAAAACCCTTAAATTAGGTATTTTTAGCGAATCAGAGACAAAACAAATACTTAGGCGCGCTTGCGATGCCCCCAAATCTTTGATTATTGGTCATTTGAATCTATTTATATATATCTAGATTATCCTAAATCCGTTGTAATTTTTTGTAAAAAAACCTGTAAAGGATATGTTTTTTACGTCTCCTGTGTTACCTATGTACACTATGACCTTAAATGTGCGTAATATTGCGATGTTAAAGGATCCATTCAAGGAAAAATACATGAACGGGAAAAATAATTATAAATTGAAATCGTTATAAATCAATGCAATCAATGGATACAATTTTTGCAAAATTAAATGATTTTAGAATACTAGTGCATAGGATCCGGATCCACAAGGTTTTGGCTTCCTGGATCCGGATCCAAGGGGCAAAATATCAACAATAACTGCAAAAAAAATTGCTCTCAAAACCCAAATATGAACTATTGAAAAAGAGAGATTATAAAAATTCATGATTTCTGAATTGTTCATCAAGTAATAACATAAAAATTATCAAAGAAATATGACAAAATTTTAAAAATCCGGTTTGTTAAAAAAATTCAGTAAATTTTAAAGTAATAACCTGGATCCGGATTTATTTCTTCTTGTGCGGATCAAGGATCCGGGTCCGCATCAAAATTAAATGGATCTCAAGCACTGCAGAATACATTTAAATTGCCCATTCTCACAAAGTACCCCCCACCCCCACCCCGTAAAATACCCCACTGCGCCCCCTGCCCTCAAAATTATTTTTTCCTCCACTTTTCATCTAACTTTTTTTCAATTAAAGTTACTGCTGGGGTGGTTTCAAATGACTCCATGTCTAGAGTGACATGTCTGATTCACGGTAACCTGAAGAAGTTTGTCTGATAAAAAATCACGAGGTTTCAATGATCTTCATTTATAAAGGAGATTATTTCCAATTGTGGTTTACTTGGAACTTCTTATTTTAAAAAAAAGGAGGAAATTTCATAATCAAACAGTTTTCTAACGGGTTAAAACGACGATTATCCACATTTTTGATCAGATCAAGGTTTTAAGGGTACCGTTGTGAATCGGATTTACCGCTTTTTAAATGAAATCTCTTTTGAACGTTAGTTCAATAGACCATTAGTCCCACTGACATGACACCGTTTTTTTTTTTTGGGGGGGGGGACATATAGCTTGCAAAATGATTTACCTCTTTCTTTTTTGTTTACCATTTTGAATTAGATGCCAAAATAAACGTAAAAATTAAAATTGTGTTTATTTTCAGTTCAAGTTCGTGGATTTGTCCTCCTTCCGAGAATATCGACACTCGCCATGTTTTTAGATTCAACTGAAAAGGAAAATATTAGATTTTTAAACTCATGAAAAAAAATTTGGGAGGGGTGGTTAATTTAACAGAAAATTTCTGTGGATCTGTAAATTCCAATCTTGTCTCGAGAATCTTATATATTTACTGAGCATCATGCTTTTTTATCGGGTAGATAGAATTCGACAATTGGCCTTAAACAATCGTTCAAAATCGTAATATTATAATACAGTGACAACCAGAAAACTGTGGCATATGAAGACGACATTACAGCAATACTTAAGTGTATTTGATGTTTTTACAAAGCAAAGAGTTTTATTACAAACTTACTAATTTATTAAAACTCTTAAAGGATTAAGTGGTTCTGTTTACACTGCATTATTGCTATGTTTCACGTTTATTGGAATATTCTATGTCATAACTTAAGTCTAAATATTGTCGTCCTACTTCAAAGTTTTCTGGTTCTCACTGAAGGCATATATTTCTTTAAAAAATGTTAATAAACATTTGAGAATATGGTTTGTATACATTTAACTCTGACGTATTAGAACTTTTCAGGAACCAATTGAAGGCCACCCAACCCAGGAAAATTCCTTCCTTTGATTACAACCTATCTTATTGTTTTGCATACAAAACTAGTTTTAATCAAACCTTATATACGTCACAGTCTACTATGTGTAGAAAAGAAACACACTCTCTTCATTATGCATGCTTATTTTACGCCCACCGCTAAATCTGTCAGGGGGGGTGCGAAGGTCCTGCCGCCCCCTCCTGTATCTGCCCCTGTTTCCTCATTATGCGCATCTTGCTCATCCTATTTAAGGAAGAATTAATGTTTCATTCCAAGTTTTTATTTCTAGATCTGTAAACATGGGGGAGAAGTCTTCAATTTAAACCATTAAAAAAATATCTGATATTTTCTCAGGAGAATGTTAGAAGTCTTATTAAGCGGTGTGGAGACGAATTGAGCCTTGAAGAACAAACTAAGATGAAAACCCTATTTTCTGTTTAATACTGTACTGCAATATTGTTTGTTTTGTACATATGTGCAAATGTACATTGTACGAGTATGCCCATTATTGCATATTTATCATTAAGAATACAGAATTGAAAAATGGTGGCGTTAACGAGAAACATTTAGTATTTTCCTTTCTATGATCATTTCAAGCAACACTTCGTTTACATTACTATTTTTCACATCGTTACCCTTTGAACCCTTTTAGAATTAAACGACAATTTTAACCGCATAGCTGATCAGGTAAAGGTTTAAGGGAACGCTATGAATTCACATAGCTGATCAGGTAAAGGTTTAAGGGTACGCTATGAACCAGCATAGCTGATCAGGTAAAGGTTTAAGGGTACGCTATGAATCCACATAGCTGATCAGATAAAGGTTTAAGGGTACGCTATGAATCCACATAGCTAATCAGGTAAAGGTTTAAGGGTACGCTATGAACCAGCATAGCTGATCAGGTAAAGGTTTAAGGGTACGCTATGAATCCGCATAGCTAATCAGGTAAAGGATTAAGGGTACGCTATGAATCCGCATAGCTGATCAGATAAAGGTTTAAGGGTACGCTATGAATCCGCATAGCTGATCAGATAAAGGTTTAAGGGTACGCTGTGAACCAGCATAGCTGATCAGGTAAAGGTTTAAGGGTACGCTATGAATCCACATAGCTAATCAGGTAAAGGATTAAGGGTACGCTATGAATCCACATAGCTAATCAGGTAAAGGTTCGCTATGAATCCACATAGCTGATCAGGTAAAGGATTAAGGGTACGCTATGAATCCGCATAGCTGATCAGGTAAAGGATTAAGGGTACGCTATGAATCCACATAGCTGATCAGATAAAGGTTTAGGGGTACGCTATGAATCCACATAGCTAATCAGGTAAAGGATTAAGGGTACGCTGTGAATCCGCATAGCTGATCAGATAAAGGTTTAAGGGTACGCTATGAATCCGCATAGCTGATCAGATAAAGGTTTAAGGGTACGCTATGAATCCACATAGCTAATCAGGTAAAGGATTAAGGGTACGCTATGAATCCGCATAGCTAATCAGGTAAAGGTTTAGGGGTACGCTATGAATCCACATAGCTGATCAGATAAAGGTTTAAGGTTATTCTATGAATCCGCATAGCTGATTAGATAAAGGTTTAAGGGTACGCTATGAATCCGTATAGCTGATCAGATAAAGGTTTAGGGTTACGTAATGAACCAGCATAGCTGATCAGATAAAGGTTTAGGGGTACGCTATGAACCAGCATAGCTGATCAGATAAAGGTTTAGGGGTACGCTATGAACCAGCATAGCTGATCAGATAAAGGTTTAGGGGTACGCTATGAACCAGCATAGCTGATCAGATAAAGGGTTAAGGGTACGCTATGAATCGGGCATGACCCTTAAAAAAGCATGAGTATACTTAGTTAAGTAGTACACTTATCCCGCCATGCCCCCCCCCCCTCCTAATGTGTTAGCAGATATAGACACTTGATGTAGGTTACTTGCTTGTAATTTCAGGTGATATTACTTATTTTCATGCAATATGACGGACACCTGTGTTAGTTTAATATCAGTTGTCTATTAGTTAATTTATATATTTTGTTCTTGTCTCTACCATCTTTTTACAATTAGTTTTATATCCAAAATGAAAAAGATCAAAGATGGGAATTAGTAACAAAGAGTTGAACTATATTAAACTGGTTTGAGCAGTAAAACTCTAATTGTACTACTGTCCTCCATTCTAAAATTCCCATCTTGAATAATATTTTTATTAATCTCTTAAATTACTTTTTGCTCTTTATTAGGAGTTTAACTTGTAATTAAATTGAAGAAATGAATTCTGAGCACAGCTGTACTAAATATTAGAATTTAATGATTCGGTTTAGACCATCTTTCTTTCTTTACTTCTACAAGTGTTTTCCAGGAGTAAATACACATCACAAATTATTTAAAACTGATAAATCATCTTATTTATCGATAAAGGGTAAAACTAAAAGGAGTAATTATGTTTTGCTCCAAAAGGCCGCCTTTTTTAATTCTGTATTGTTAAATTGCACAGTTTGGTGAACCGTGTTTAGTGGAACACAATATGACAATTCTTTCAGATATAAAAACCTTTAGAGACAATCAGAGGTTGGCCAGGACCCTTAGGGACCACCTCCAAGAGGACAGGTGTAATCAGGTATAAAGGGGCCAAGCCAATAAAGGGGTTAGGGGCAACTAGTTAGCGAATAGAGTGGTAAAGGGTACAGGGCTCAGGGACAACTAGTTAGCTGATAGAGTGGTCAGGGACAACTAGTTAGCGGATAGAGTGGTCAGGGAAAACTAGTTACGTGGTTAGAGTGGTCACTGGTCAGGGATGACTAGAAGTAGTAAATGAAAATTTTAAAAACTTTATTAATAACAAATTCATTCCTTTTTAGGATCAAATAAATTTATCAACACCTTCCAAAATGGTGAACTTCGGTGGGGCAATTAGGAATGTGAAGTGTATTCTTTAAAAAAAGATATAACAAAAAAAATTACATTTTTGAACTAACAAAAGGAATGAAATTTAAACTTTTGGAATTAATCAAATAATTTTTTAACTTTTAGCAATGAACATTTTCAGCAGGTTTTCAAATTTCACATCAGAATATATTTTAAAACAGATAAAGTCAAAGTAAATATAAGTCATATCAAAAAAGCTAATTATGTTTTTATGATTTTGATTTACCACACAACATGGTTCAGGTTGAATCCTCCGGCAATTTTCTTAATCTGTGGTATAGTAGGTACATTTTCTTAATCTGTGGTATAGTAGGTACATTTTCTTAATCTGTGGTATAGTAGGTACATTTTCTTAATCTGTGGTATAGTAGGTACATTTTCTTTCAAAATATATATTCAAGTTTGTATAGCGTGAACATGATTATGGATATCTCGTGTCTTTTTGTTCAAACAAATATTTTAAGGGTATAGAGAATTAAAAATTGAGTGTCACTTGAAATTTTAAGTCCAATTCTCCACTCTATACTATATTCCTCGAGTTCCTAAGTCACATGAAAAATTTTTATTTTTTTCTTATGAATCCAACTATGTTCTATATAGAATACCAAATTTACATAGATAATTCTTCTAATATTTTTTTCATTTTTTTATTATTCAAAACACTATTTTGATTCATGTGGATTGATCAATGTTCATTAAATTTATTTATCTAGAATTAATAGTGTTCTTTATAAAATACTTAATTTACATGTTTTTCTATTTTTCACCCCCGCACTTTTTTCTCATTATTTTTGTTCTACAAAACACTCACTCACACTTGGATTAAATTGGATTGAAAAATATTTATTGAATTTATTAATCTAGGATTAATGATATTTTTTGAATACTTAATTTATTTACATATTTTTTATATCATTTCTTTTTTTCTATTTTGAACCCACAGACTTTTTTCAAATTCTTTTTGTTCTTCAAAAAACTTCTTTTATTTATGTGGATTGATCAATGTTCTTTGAATTTATCTAGGATTAAGTGTGTTCCTAAAAAAATACTTAATTTACTTACATATTTGTTTTTCTATTTTTTACCCCTTGCACTTTATTTTGTTCTACAAAATACTCTTTGGATTAATTTTGATTAAAAATTGGTCTATGAATAAATTTGTTTATGATTAATAGAGTTCCCGAAAATAATTAATTTAATTGTATATATTTTTTTGATATTCTTTTCTTTTACTTTTCGTCCCCCAGACTTTTTTCTATTTTAAATGGTTGGACTTAAGTGTATTGAAAAACGTTTTTTGAATTTATTTATCTAGGACTAATAGTGTTCTTTAATATGGGAAGATCCACAGCTCCGCATCCCAATATATCCTTGAAACAGCTGTTAGCTGTCTCCATTCATGCAGCTGTCAAGGGAGGGATAGAGGTTGTCAGGTAGCTGTCAGTCATTTTTTTATGATCATGATTTGTTTTATTTTTTGTTTGTTTTATAACTAATATTTTTTTTATAATTTACAAAATCATTATCATCACTATCATCATTATCATCATTATCATCATTATCATCTTTATCATCATTATCATCATAATCATCATAATCATCATTATCATCATTATCATCATTATCATCACCATTAGCATCTTTTTATCATCATCATCATCATCATCATTCATTATCATCATCATTATCATCATTATCATCATTATCATTATTTTTATCATCATTCATTATCATCATCATTATCATTTAATTTTAATTATTATCAGCATTATTATCATCATTATAAAGCTCTTCGCTCATATATAAATTATTCCAGGGGCAACGCTGGGCACTTGAGCTTGTTATCATTATTATCAAAGTTATTATTATTATTTATTATTCTCATTATTATGTTTATCCCAGGGTAAGAGAAGAAGCAGATATAGGAGAGAGTAGTAAAGGAAAAACAAAAGAGGGAGCTAATGATCCTAAAACTAATGGAGACATGTTCTCCCACAGGTAGTACAATGGAATCTTCACATATATACAAATTAACATACAAAAATATTACTGGGTCAATAAAAATCTATTTCTGATTTCAAATGGGATCGGAGTGGAAAGTACATTTCGGGGCATGAAAGTACATTCAGGGGAATGAAAATACATTTAGGGGAAAGAAAAAACATTCAGGGGAATGAAAATACATTCAGGGGAATGAAAATACATTCAGGGGAATAAAAATACATTCAGGGGAATGAAAATACATTCAGGGGAATGAAAATACATTCAGGGGAATTAAAATACATTCAGGGGAACGAAAATAAATTCAGGGGAATGAAAATACATTCAGGGGAATGAAAATACATTCAGGGGAATGAAAATAAATTCAGGGGAATGAAAATACACTCTTTTTGTCACTGTGAACTTTGGAAAGTTTTTTGTGTACGTGTACTACACTTCGAAATGTGTACTGCATTCGGGGTGTTATAAGATGTATATATCAGTAATCAAAATTCTTGTTTTCAGGGCAATGTACTGGGGAATAAAGAAGGCGTTTCCACACATAAATGTTATCAGGTCAGATTTAAATATACCTTTAGTTTGATGAATTATGTTTTAAAAATATAGATTGTTTGAACTGAAAGGACTTGCTAACGAATTGTTTCAGACCATACATTTAAAAAATCTATACAAATCTATAACAAAGTTCTTTGTATTTTATACAACATGAAAAAACATCGGGCATTGTTTAACTGTTCTGCAGAAATTTCACCTTTGTCTGGTGAAAAATCAGTAAAAAATACTTGTTTTTCTAACTAAAAATTGATTAGTAAAACTTCAATTTAGATTAACCAATACAATTATGAAAATAAGGATATAAAATATAAAAGTTAATATTGCTCAGACAAAGGTTCAAAGGGTACCGTTGTGAATCGGGGTTATAAATCTTTAAAGGGAGGGTTTAAATTAAAGTTATGTGGACAGCTCGTTTCAGAATAAAGCGTCACTGAAACAAATATTTTCTCTGTCCCTTTAAAATGTTTAGAAATGTAAAAATATGATTTATTTAGTGAAGAACATGACGTAGAGGAAGTGGATCTCTCTACAGTAGAGATGCCCAGCTTAGACAATCCGGAAGTAAGGTTTTTTTCTAAACTGAGTTTTTTAACCTAAGCTAGTTTTCTAAACTTTTATTTCAAACTAAGTTTTTTTTTCTAAACTGAGTTTTTTGGTCATTCAGTCAAACGCTTTGTTGTTCTAAGATTTATCTTTAAACACCCTTTTTGGATGCTGAAAAATTATTAACGAATTTTTAAAGAAAATACTGGTAAATTTTTGTGTTCTTAAAATTAGTCTTAGGTGATGTAAAGGTAGGTTATATAGTGAACTGTAGAAGGAATCCCTAAAGCGTATATATTAAACGTCTCGGCTCAAAATATATATTTATCAATGCATTTTTATCATTATAAAATATCAGTGTTAGACCAAAAAAGTTTTTGTTTCATTATTATTATTATTATTATTGTTATTATCATTGTTATCATTTCAGAATTAACACTTCACTCTGTATTTTTACTAATTGTAAAATGAGGTTTTAAGATGTTTTATCTTCTGTTAGGTAGAATCTATAGTGGATGATGATACATTAGTTCCTCCTGGTGAAATTTCTGTTTGGATAGATCCTTTAGACGCTACACAGGTTTTATTTCTATAAAATAAAGCTCTTCGCTCATATATATATTATATATATACAGGGTGAGTCAAAAAAAGTGTGATTTGCGACGCCTGGTGGAAAATTGTACCTTTTTTGTGCAACTCTCCTGTATGGTGTCTTTTCAATATTTTCTGAAAATTTGTAATTTTTTTGGTGCTCCAATGGCCCAAAAGAAAATCCGTGAATCGTTTTTTTTTCTCAAAATCAAAAGTTCAGAAAAGCAAAAACTTGCATTCATATTATTTCTCTCTAAATCTAAAATTTTATTAGGATTGAATCACAGAATCACAGAAAATTGGCAAAATTGTAATAAAAAAATTCGCAATTTTCAGTTCTTGGCTAATTTTTAAGGAAAAGTTATTTAAATTCTCTAGTTCCTTTCTTCTTAGTGTATTCTAAAGTATTAAATATACGCTGTTCAGTTGAAACCTTGAGAACCATTGAAAAACAATTTTTCCGTAAAAATTATACCAGAACTGAAAATGGCGTATTTTCTAATTACAATTTTGCAAATTTTCTGAGATTCTGTAATTCAATCTTTTTAAAATTTTAGATTTCGATAGAAACAATTTATTTACACATTTTTGTTTTCTGAACTTTTGATTTTGAAAGAAAAAAGGTTCGCGGATTTTTTTTTTGGGCCATTGAAGTACCAAAAAAAAATACAAATTTTCAAAAAATATTAAAAAAAAACACCATACAGGAGAGTTGCACAAAAAAAGTTACAATTTTGCACCAGGCGCCGCAAATCACACTTTTTTTTGACTCACCCTGTATATATATATATATTTATATATATTTATCTTATTATATGTCAGCTATAGCTGGCTGAACCAAATGGGCTGAAATTGTTTGAGAGAACCCTTGGACCGAGTGGTAACATAGGCTAAACAAAATTTGAATATTTTTTCTTTAAAATTTAAAAAATAATTTCAGTTCTTAAATTTCACGGGCAACGCCGGACACTTCAACTAGTTAATTATAAAGATATTTCTCCTAATTTTATTTGAGTTTTTCTTTAATGTTGTTAAATTTTAATTGTGTGTACATTGCTGAAAAGTATAACTCCCGCATTTTTAATGTTCCTTGTTAAGGAGTACACAGAAAACCTGCGTCATTTTGTTACAACGATGGTGTGCGTGGCAATCAACGGAGTTCCTGTGATTGGTATTATTCATAAACCCTTCGAGAAGTTGACCGCCTGGGGATGGGCTGGACCTGACTACAGATCTAAGTAAGTGCTTCAGGGGTGTACACTGTTTAATGTATTTTCTTGACAAATTATTTCCCCTCCCCCTCATTTGAAGTTTTTTTTCTTCAGAAGTGATGTATGTTCAACATGTTTTTAGGGGTTCAATTCGCTGATGAATTATTGAAAATAAATGATTTTTAGGGAAAAATAAATAAATTAAAGATGAAAAAATTTGCCTTTTCACGCCCAATTTTTTATTTTTTCCAGATCTTTTAAAATCATTTTTGAAAAAATTACACCTTCTGAAGTGATTTAAAAGATAAACAGTGGGACCCACAAAACTGTGGAAGAGGACGACGACATTCAAGCATTATAATAAGTATTCTGTGAGGTGAATCTGTGTTTACTGCATAACTACTGTGTTTCATGATCATTGGAATTTTAAAGATCTGAACTAAAGTTCAACAGACGTCTTTCGATTACTGTTTTATGGGTTTTATGGTATACAAAATTATTTTTGTGCATTTAAACTAAATGCTTTTAGATCAGTGATTCAAAGTTGTGATTGGCAGAATGTCAGATGTCTGTTGTAAACTTGAAACATGTAGTTTTTAAGAACTAAATCATTTATAGCAGCTCATTTAATATAGACTTAAGTTTTAAATGATTTTGTTAGTCAATTACAAGCTGTGTCTGCCACAAAATCTTCTGGCATATTACCGTGACCTTTAAAAAATCCTTTTTTTCTTCTGCGAATAACATAACTTAAAATAAATAGTAAAATCTATGGTTTTCAGGAAAATTTGAGGCCCAAACGGGTGCTTAACCCTCCCTGGAAAGAAAAAATTGACGAATTCCTAAGTATACTTCGAGTAGGGCGTCCCTACTTATATTTTATTTTATTTATTTTAAGGAGTGTTAATGATGATCTGAAGGCGGGTAAGGGTTTAGAACATGATATTTCTAAAGCAAGAATTATTGTCTCCAGGCAAATATTAAATCTAAAGACATCTGATCCACAGTCGTCTCTGAAGTCTTATCATTTGTGAATAACCCTGTATGATTGATTTTTGCCGCGCCAATCCAATGAACGTTGTCATTTTTATAATACTAGGGTCGGGAGGGGAGGAGGGGGGAAGGTAGATTTGACCCTTTAATAAGACTTCTTCTATTTCAACTTCTGTTTCAACTTTTTTTTAAGTTTGCGGATTTCATTTAATATCTTTTCGCGCATTTTCAAAATTTTACAATCATAAAAAACTTTTAAGCACAAATTTTTAAAATTTACATAAACCTTCCCTGGGGTCACGTGAGGTCACACACAAAATTTGGGCCTGATCGGTTCAGCCGTTTTGACGTTTATTGGATACACACAAACAAACAGACACCCAGACAAGCTAAATTTATATATAGAAGTCGGACAGCTTTACTTTTCCTGTTTATTACGGGTCTGTATAATTACCTGACTACAAATGATTCCGTTTACAGAACGCTATCCTTTAAGCCTTTGTCTGATTAACAACAAATGAGATATTCTTGTTTTTCCATCGTTTACATTGATTATTTTCCATTGTGATTTCTGCATTATAGTAATTTGTGGATTTATGCTGCAGAAGTAATGAAGAAAATTGACATAATTTTACACTTTAAAGATAAAATATTTCTCTTATTGTTACTAAGATAAAGGTTCAAAGGGTACCTTTGTGAATTAGACATAATTATAAATTGAGGCTCACTAAAAATTACGTCTACAGTCCCTTTGTTTTTTTGTTTGTTTTCATTTCAATTCGAACCGGTTCTTCTCTCATAATATAGAAGCCATCCAAATTCCAAAACCCTGTTTTGTCATTTTCTAAGATTTAATAAAATCTGATGAAGGTCACACGCTGGTTCCGTAAATGCTACAGCTCAGGAAAGGATTAAAACCTTGACAATCCTTTTTCAAATATGACACTGGCTTATTCACCTTTTTCTAGATACTTATGATATCTTTTGGTTTCAGCTAAATTTTCCGTCCTATATTTGCTAAATGAAGCAGAAGTTTATACGTAGCGTCCTATATCATATTGGATTATCTCCAAGCGTTAACACCAAAATATGCAATAATACTAATAATAAAACATAATATTTTCTACACGAAAATTTTTAAATAAGCCTTATACTTTTTTAAAAAAAGATTAATTTCTGATTAGTCCCTTAAATCTTAATTTACAGTACATAATCTTATATGATGTGGGACACCCCTGTACGTACATGTAGTTTTTATTTGTGATGGTTTTCATGACTTTATAGTCGGCCTTAGGACAAGATATCGTTGTTACACCTGCTGGAGGAGCTGGTTATAAAGCTTGGGAGGTTTTAAAGGTAGATATATCCAGTTTTAAACATTTACAGATATCCTTGTATCCAGTAGGCTGTGCTGGAGATAAAGGTTGGGAGGTTTCAAAGGTAGATATATCGAGTTATGAATATGTTCATACATCCTTGTATCCAGCGTGAGGAGCTGGATATAAGGCTTGGGAGGTTATAAAGGTGACCTTATCCAGTTATAAATATATACATTTATGCTTGTATCCAGCTGGAGGAGCTGGATATAAAGCTTTGGAAGTTTTAAAGGTAGATATATCTAGTTATAAATATATACAGATATCTTTGTATCCAGTAGGCTATACTGGATACAAAGCTTAGGAGGTATTTGCTCTGTATATATTTAGTTATAAAATATATACAGATATCTTTGTATCCAGTAGGCTGTGCTGGATACAAAGTTTGGGAGGTTTTAAAGGTAGATTTATCCAGTTATAAACATATACAGATATCCTTGTATCCAGTAGGCTGTGTTTGGGAGAAAGAAATAGAAAGAAAAAAATTAAAGTTTAACATTTTACTACTTTTTTTAATGAAAAGACTTAGGTAATCTTTAAAAAATGGCGCACTCAATAAGCGCGGTAGCTTTTATATTGCCACTTTTTACTGATAATTCTTGAACATTTTTCGTATAACAGGACATAGCCGGCCCCTAATGAAATTATGATTTTTCGAAATAATTTTATTCTATATCAAAACCATCTAAAAAGTGCGCTTCTTTCGTGAAAGTGTATTTTTTCAAATTTTCCGATGTTTTCAAAAGTTTCAACAAATTTCATCTTTAACGTAAATGAAAACATTATTTTATTTCAAACTTTAAACATTTAAATTTATAATTCTTGCTTTATCTTTTTATCTTTTTATATTTTTATTTTGATACAATTTTTAACAAAAAAAATTATTAAATTTTTTTTACGTTTTTACATTGCAGGGTAGCCAGGATGCGTATGTACACACTACACTGATAAAGAAATGGGATATATGTGCTGGTAATGCAATCTTGAACTCAGCTGGGGGTCAGCTTACAACACTTAAAGGGGAGAGTATTAATTACAGGTAGATAAACTGCCACTAATTAGATGTTTCCAACGTCGGAAGCGTCTAAATGATCCATTTTTTCCATAAAGGATTTTGGACTTCAAGAGGAAATATAATATTACTAGGCTTTTAGGGCGCTTCAAGTCCATCTTCTATTTCAACTTTCAATTGTGACTTTATCTGTGAGCATCTTCTCTTTGTACAGTATAAAACAAAATCAAACAAAAAGTTTGCGGATTTCATAATATTATTTCGCGCATTTTCAAAATTTTACAAAAATAAAAAACTTTTTAAAATTTTGATTATTCATGAACCTTCCCTGGGGTCACTTGAGATCCCACAACAGACAGACAGACAAGTTTAAAATTCGGTGATGGTGATGGACCAAACCTCTGTAGAGTAAAAAAGTAGATGTTAGTTCCACATTTATTGAAAATATATTTCGGTCTGGGTTGACCCTCGTCAGTTCTAACGATATAATAACCATCAAAATCGATAAAAAAGTATAAAAAAATGTTTGTTAAAAATCCCAAGAAAATAAACAAACAAAAAAGATTATTCAAAATAAAAATTTGGTCTGTCAAATGGACATAAGGGAAACGAACTCAGATTATCAGATGGAAAAAAGATAATTTGCAAATATACACTTTAAAAAAATGTTTTAAGACAATTATTATTCCTTTAGATTGTTACTGTCATAAAGGTTAAAAACAAACTGTTTAGATGTATGTGTATAAAGTGATGGTGGGGGTCGAACTAATTAACGAAGACAGACAAGCTAAATTTATATTTACACTAGGCTTTTAAAGCGCTTCGCCCCCATCTTCTTTTTCAATTATGAACATGTTTTCTTTGTAAACATTTTAAAACAAAGAAGAAGAAAAATTTCGCGGATTTTCAAGATTTTCAAGATTTAAAAAAAATCGTGTTTAGTGGAGTAGAGGGGAATGAGAAGAATACTGGTGGAGTACTGGCAACCCTTTACCATCACAAGGTATTCAAATATACTATTTTCTCACGGTGTTGGTTGCATTTTAATTAAATTCGTAATTTTGGAATAACATGAATTAAGAAACAGGTTTTGTATTTCTTCTCAATATTTCCTTTAAAATTATAGCAAACAGGCGGCAGCATTGATTGTTGCAAAATAAATTTACTTCAAATTTCAAGAAATATTAAAGAACAAATATAATACTGAAGATAATTCAATAAAAAAATAGATATAAAAAGGAACTGAGTTTGTGCCAGAAACTCGCATTTTCTAACCCCTATATCTTTGCAACCTGATGATGTAAACCTTTGATATTTCAAACTTAGATTATTTGATCTAACAGAATTAATGGTCTAGGAAAATGGGTTGCAAAGTTATAGGAATTAGAAAATCAGAGTTTGTGGCAAAAACTCAATTCCTTTGCCCCTTTTGGTCATCTCGATTAAAAAAAGAGTTTTAAGAAAAATACTGGCCTAATGTTTTACGTTTTATGAATTTAATGCTTAATTTTACAATCGTCAAAACATCAGCCAATAATTACATTTAAAAAAGAAAATATTAGTTTTGAAATTTAATTTGATATTGTTATATCATGTACTAAGGGTGAGATAAAAATGTTCAGTGGCCGAATTTTAAAGAATTTGAGCGGCGGTTTAAATTTAAGCCGTGGTTTAAATATGGTTGGTTCCACTTAAAATTGTATCTAATGTTTCAAGATTTAAGCCGGCGCTGAATTTAAACCGGGATTTGGCGGATTTAAACCGCGGCTCAAATTCTTTAAATTCCATCTCATGACTTTTGAATATATTCTTATAAAAGCTGAACTACGATGTTTACATGAATAAAACAGTTTATTTATATAAGGTTATATATATGTACTACTTTGGTTCAAGTTTCATCAATATCAAACTTTGTTTTGATCAGTCTTTTTTGTATACTATGTATAGTTTTCTACACAAAACCTTGTCTTGGTCGTAATGTGCCAATAGATTACATTCGGGCTATTCATAATCATCAAGCAGAGGTTGGATGAGAAGAAGATCACAAACCTCAACTCCCTGAAGCTTACCATCAAGCAGAGGTTGGATGTGAAGGAGATCACAACCCTCAACTCCCTGAAGCTTAACATCAAGCAGAGGTTGGATGTGAAGGAGATCACAAACCTCAACTCCCTGAAGCTTAACATCAAGCAGATGTTGGATGAGAAGGAGATCACAAACCTCAACTCCCTGAAGCTTAACATCAAGCAGAGGTTGGATGTGAAGGAGATCACAAACCTCAACTCCCTGAAGCTTAACATCAAGCAGATGTTGGATGAGAAGGAGATCACAAACCTCAACTCCCTGAAGCTTAACATCAAGCAGAGGTTGGATGAGAAGGAGATCACAAACCTCAACTCCCTGAAGCTTAACATCAAGCAGAGGTTGGATGAGAAGAAGATCACAAACCTCAACTCCCTGAAGCTTAACATCAAGCAGGGAACTTGACAGTGACAAGGCGTTTTGTTTGACTCAATTATTTTTCTGTCAAGTTCCCTCCATATCTTCTTTAAGGTGTTAAGGGTGCAGTTGTTAATCGGATATGTTACTTTTTTAATATTCTGTTTATAGTGCTCTTAAAGAAACTTGATGCTGTTCTGACACTTTATATGTAAACAAGGATGTTATTTATTTTCCTTGGTTTAAAGGATCAATTTGTGTCAGGGTTTGTAAACTTTCTCAAAAAATAAATTCCCCCCCTCCTTTTGAAAATATTTTTTTTTACTCAAGAAAGTATTTATGCTTGCGCAGAGCGTAACATTTTTTTACAGTTTTATTCGCTTAGTTGGGGAAAACAAATTAATTTTTAGGTAAAAAGTATTTAATAAGTATCTAAAAGAATAAAAAAATTGCTTTTTAATTTCAGATTTTTCATTTTCTCCCCCAAATTCTCAAAAATCATCCCCGCCCCCCCCCCCCTCTTTCCAAGGGAAGGAGGGTGGTATTTCTATAAAATATACACCCCTAAATTGTGTTCTCCAGGATTATGTTGAGAAGTTGTCTACTCTGGAGGTTGAAACTAAAAGAAAGCATGCCTGATCCGACAAAACTGTTCAACATTAAAATATTATCGGTACTAATAATTCAGAGACAGAATTAAATTTTGAGCTGTTTTGCTAAACTTCCTACTGCCGGTTCAAATTTGAACCACCACCGATGCAAAGTTAAAGATTAAGGAAGGATTTGAATCGGTGATTCAAATTTGAACACGCAGAAGGCTCATATCCTTAAAATTCGATCTCAGGGTTCCTCTTAGACTGTATTTTGACAACTTTTTCAATTTCAGACGGTGCAGTGGAACCAATACAACTGTGAAATAGAAAGACGACATTTAAGCAGTCCTATTTTGTTACAAAGCAAATAGTTTTATGATTATCATGACTTGAAAATCAACGTATTGTGATGGGTCCATGTGCATTGTACACTGTACACTGTTCACTGGACATTGTACAGTGTACACTGTACATATTGTGATGGGTCCATATGCATTGTACACTGTACACTGTACAGTGTACAGTGTACAATTGCTGTGCTTCATGTTGATTGGACTATTGTGTAAAGCAGTTGTCATCCTATTTTATAGTTGTCTGGGGGGGTTCATGGAAGCAAACTTTAAAACTTAAAAATCAAGGCATTCTTGAAGTATCAGAGTCTCAGAATATAAGTTTTATTCTCAGCCTTATCTGCCTTTGTTAATACAAACTAGATGGATCCCTGAAAATATTTATTTTTACAAATTAATTGCTTTTATTTGTTTATAAGATCGAAATTATTTTGACTGCATGTGTTACGCGAGCTACGCTGCGTTCATGAAGTCTATGTGATACCCCTGTGATTCTCTGAGTTCCCCCTGACGGTCTGTACAGAACGTATTGTGAAGAACTAGTTTGAGAAGCTGTTTACCGTCCGACTACGCATGCGCAAGTTCCCTGCGTAGGAGCGAGCAGTTTCTACTTCAGTATACAGTTGTATTTCATGTAATGTTCGTCTTTTATTAAACCGTGTGAATATTCTAGGACCACTGCGGTAATTATGATTATATTTATATGATTATTGTTTATTTATGTTCGGTTATGGTTGATATTGTATAATGTAATGTATGGGTTCCTTGCCACAGTTTTTTAATGCCTGAGTGGATTTATTGCTATATTTGTATGATTTATCACTCAATGCTTTTTCTGTTGGCTTATAAAAGATTATTTAGATTGAAGGCTTAGAGAAATAAACGTTCGGAACCTTATTATCATCCTTGTGTTATGGAGAGCGTTGAGAGAAGGAAGCCTTACAATCCTATCCAGAGAAATACCACTCGGTACTTGTAGATTTCATTAGGTCTTTAGGGAATTCGCTAAGTAGCGAAACAGCATGCTACAACTTAGTCCTTAGTTCCTTTAAACGCATTTAGTCTTTTTTGAAGATGATTTGAATATACATAAAATTGTTACTATTTGGATGTGGAAAGTTTCACCATGCAAGAATTCTGAAAACAGTTGCATAGTGTACATAGTTAAACTTCGATACAGTTTTAAAGTTTGCAGTCCTCTTGCAGGGTGATATTTAAAGGGAGTTTACCGGCTCGACATGGTAATTAAGTTGAAATTGCAGTATTGTATGGAAAAACTTCAAGATTTATTTGATACCAATGAGACATTTTTACGGTGTGCAATTTTTAAATAAGAGCGTAAAGTCGTTTGTTTCAGCCAGCAGAAGTAACGTGTTTTTTTTCAATTCTTAAATAACGTGGACAAAACAACAAATACTATTCTACGAACTAGTTGTAGTGTACAGACAGGTTGAGAAAAATAGTGAACTTATATCATTGAAAATAAGTTATTAAAATTCTTTTTAAAATCTCGCAGGTTTATGCAAATTCTTTCAGCTTTTTGGAGGTTTCCTTTCTTATTGTGAAGACGACATTTTGAAGAAATCTGCGAATAATATAGAAACAGCAAAGGCAATAATCGATTCTACGGTTCTAACTTCTACTATGGCTTTCATCGATCATTTCATTTAAGAAATATGTTCCTAAGCAGCAAATTAGTCATACCGTCAATTCAAACGAATCCTTCAAGGCACCCTTCAGTCTTTAATCTGTATCATTTTAAGTCAACCTAGCCGCCCTTACAACTTCCATGCACTTACACTCATTAAAATACTTTTTTACACGTTTTGTCCTGATTAAATAATTGTAAAAAAAACTTTTCTTTTGCTGACTGAAACAACTGGTGATATATTATAAATGACTTTACGCTCTTATTTAAGAATTGTACACCGTAAAAATGTCTGTGCATTGGTATCAAATGAATCTTAAAGTTTTTCCATACAATACTGTATTTTCAGTTCAACTACCATGCCTAACCGGTCTCTCCCTTTAAAAGAAACTTTGGATTGACATTATAATAGAACCTACAATTTTACATGTTTATTATGATTTTTGCCAAAATATGATTTTTTTGTTTTTTCTAGAACTATGTAGCCAAGCTGTCCCTACTGATGGTTGAAACTAAGCGCAAAACTGCTGAAAAACGTGCCGCGTTTAAAACCTTAGTGAGAGATAGACTAAGAAAACCGTGATCATGAAACTTCATTTTTTTCAAATTCTGGAATAAATAAGAAATTGATTTAAATCATTTCCTTCAAAACTGTTTTTTAAATCCTTATTCAATCCTAGGTTTACAGAGACTCTCAATAAACATGGTGACCTTTGCGGGATTTAAGTTTCAAGTACCTACAGGGTTATACACCAAGTATGCGACTTAAAAGACGCCTGTACAATATTCATTCAAGCTTTTTCTCACATTTCCATAGTCCCCTACAGCTGTACAGTGTACACTTTCTTCTTTTTACTTATGTAAAAGAAATAATGGAAGACAGAGAACTGATTTTGGATATTAAAGAGTTGCAGGTCAACATTACAGTCTCATCCTTTGTGGGTAACCCTGTCCTAATTTTATGGATTTCCCAAACTCAGACTACTGCGAATATATATACAATTTTTACCATTTTTTGTTGTCATTGTTTAAGATTTATCACTTTTTTGGAAGCAGGGTCACTACAAATAAAATATGTTTGAGAATGATCATTGATCACTCTATGAATGAATTAAAAAGTGAATGCATTAATAATAATTTGATTGATTTAGTAATAAATCGTCTTCCATTGATGCAGTTAGTCCTTTTTCCTCTTAGTTTTTGGTTTTTATGGCCTTTTTTTAAAATCATTTAATGATTTCCAATAATTAATTTAGTAATTGTTTTACCGCCTTTGACCAACATTACCGACCCTTGATTTCCCCAACAATGGGATGTTGAGTTACATAACGTTCCTCGGGGCAATTTAGTATAATAACGACCCGCTCTTCATAGTTTTCGTGAAAATTTGGTCTTAGTAACCCGTGGTAAAGTACAATTCCATGAACTTCCCTGTACAATAGTTAATAATTATTTCTGCCAAAACGTCAAAACTAAAAAATCTATCAATATTAGCAGATAATTTTGGAACCGGTTTTGTTACACATTGGTTACCATTAGTTACCAGTATTACGTCTGACTGAATTTTATTCAATTTTAAAACAAAAAGTTAATTTTTAATGATAACATAAGCTGGAGGAATGTCAGTGATTATTTCATATTGTGATAGTTTTTTTTTATCCTTGTGACTATTTAATTGTAAAACGCCTTACTTTATCATAGCGAAAAAAAATAATCTGTATTTTTATAAATAGCTTTGGTAGATTAATGCTCACATTTTTGACAATAACTTTGTAAGGAAACAGCTTAAATTAATCTTAACGTCTAAAGATATCCCTTATTGGGGCTGCAAGTTCCGATACTAATTTTTTGACAAGAAAACCCAATTCGTTTCCGTTAAATTTTGTGAACTTTTATTTTGTGTTTTGTATTCAATTCCCTAAATCCCTAAAAATAGGTTTATAATGTGAATTATTTAATGAAATGTGAACAGATCTTTTAAATTTTTCTGTACCTCAATGGTTGTGGATTATATAAATGTATTTAACTAATTATGTTTGAGCTCATTTAGATTATTAATTAATGTCGATTTTTTCTGTTTGCATTAAATATATTTTCTAAAATAGATGTTTATTTTTGTATTGAAGTTTTCCTATGCATCTGAACGGATTCGGAAATTAAAAACCTTATGAATTTGTGGAATGAAATTTTACGTTTAATTTTTATCTAAAACTGATGTGTTTAAAATTCAAGCACTGGCCTAGGCAGTAACGTGAACTACTGATGGAACTAAAACTTATCTAAAGAAAATTAGAAGATTTTCAGCTGATAGTAAAATTTTTATTCTTTGAAGAAATCAGTGTGAAAATGTTAAAAACCAGAAATATTTTAGAAATGTGAACAGTTTCCGAATTTAATGAATCTAAGCCGCGTCTCAAAAAACCCAAAAATCTGTTGCAATAGGGCGCCGGCTTAAATCTCTATAAACTTGATTTAAGTGGAACCAACCATATTTGAGCCGCTGATTAAATTTATTCCGCCGCTCAAATTCTTTAAATACGGCCTCAGAAGAACTGAAACTGAATTTTGAAAACTATGACAAAATGTTTAGAAGTTGCAAAGTTCAAAGTTACAAGAAAATTATGCGAAAGGACCCATGCAAGTTAAAGAAATGTACTTTAGAAATTGGAAATTAAAAAATTTCCTGAAAAAATAATCTCGAACAGTTGAAGATACATGCAGTGCGCAACTAACATTAAAGTGCTTGAATAACATTAACAATAGATTTCTATTTATCAGAAAACTTTTCAGAAACTTTCATGTTCTTTAATTATTACATTAAATTTAATATTTACAATTTATCTTAAGTTAGATAATCAAAAATCTTAAAACATTTTTAATAATAAACTTCTGTTTTTTTGTCCTTACTGTTATATTAAAAACTTAAAATAAAGTTTAACCCCACCTATCGTTATCATATAGAACTATGAACCCAAACATCATTAATTTTGTTATTTTGTTATGCACAGTATGGTTACGGGAACTTATTTAGTTTATTTATCTTGTTATAATGGATTCCAAGAAGTAAATAATGAATAGTTAACAATTATATCTATTGGCACAAAATAGAAATAATTTAATCAGGTTTATATGGTTAGTTAGGTCCAGGGTCCGTATTAGTATATCTTTTTATTGTAAAAGTCCTCCCACCCTACCCGTCAATATTTTATCAATAACTAATGAATAAAAAGGGGTGTCAATGTTTTCCAATTTTCCAATTCTAGGAAAATTGAAAAAATGAATGGCATAATTGAATTTAAACATAATGCTATTTTCACACAAAGTAAAACTTCACACTTTCAGAATTTCTATAAAATCCCCCCGGGTTCTTCATAGATAAGTTTATTAATAATTAAAGATGTATTTCCTAATAACAATAAACATGGAAAGCAACATTTATTTATTAACGGGGCTTTTATTTAAAGGAACGGAGTTTTTCCACGGACTAAAAAGTTTCTAATCACTATATCTTTGTAACCTGATGGTGTAAACCTTTGATATTTCAGAGATTATTTAATCTAATAGAATTCATAGTTTAAAATATCTAAGGTCTACGACACTGGGTTGCATAGACATAAGGATTTAGTGAGAGTTAGTGGCAAAGACTCGAATTTCTTTACAACTTTACAATTCTTTTTTGTTATCAAATTTCTGGTTTCTCTAATTTTGGTGATAAGTATCTGATGGTTTAACAAATTAAATATACTCATGTTATATATGAAAAGTATCTGATGGTTTAACAAATTAAATATACACATGTTATATATGAAAAGTATCTGATGGTTTAACAAATTAAATATACTCATGTTATATATGAAAAGTATCTGATGGTTTAACAAATTAAATATACACATGTTATATATGAAAATCTGTATTATATCATTCATATTTCTATTTACATATTTTTGTTGCAAACTTCTTCCATCCTTTCAGAGATTTTTAATATTACTTCATAAGAAAGCCGTATTGTCTGGATATATGAGAGATAACCTCTAAAATTGGGGAGATGGGGGGGTTACTGCCCCCCCCCCCCCACCCTTACATTGTGTTATTATAATCAACAAGTCGAGGCTAACAAAGCCAACTGCCTGAATGGTAACTAAGCAACCAGTATCATTCCCCTTCTCAAGCCAGAGGGAAAATTTTCAAGCACCAACCAATCCCTTAATCTGGGGAATAGTGGCTTAGTTGTCTTTCAGCCAGATTTTATATTTTAACATTTTTCTTAGCTTAAGCTAATTCTATTTTTTTCTATAGCCCACTTTCGATCTTATTTGACTGTATAAGTGATTTCGAACTAATCCATTTTATCACAAAGGGTCCAATTGGAGTAATCTATAACAGTGAAACCCTTAATAACGAATACATCGAAAGAATTCATCAATTGTCGTATTCTTTACTCTCTGATAATGGAATTTTGCAGGTATTTAGTTTTTTGATTAAATTATTATATTGAACTCTTTAAAACTGTTCCCGTATATTCATGGCTATTTATTTGTTTTCGCAAATACTGAAATTTACGTAATATAGTATAAAACTCATTGAAAAATTGTCAAGACGACTTTTGATAAATTCTTCCGATGTATTCGTTATTAAGGGTTTCACTGTATAATTTCTCAGCCATCGATCAAAGGAATTGAGTTTTTGCCACTTCAGCATATATCTTCTAATCCCTAAATATTTACAAACTGATTGTATAAACCTCCGATATTTCGAACGTATACTACTTGATCTACCAGAATTTATAACTTGAAATATCAAAGGTCTACGAAAAGATATAGAGATTGGAAAATCAGAGTTTGTGGCAAAAACTCCTTGAGAAGATTTTTATAAACCTTTTCATTAAAAAAACAGATTAATATTCAAAATCAATGTTAACTTGATTTAAACATGATGGTCCTCACATTAAATTGAAAACTTCAATGCTTTTACAAACTTCTAAACTTTTGGTTTTCTTCTAAAGGATACGATCATCGTTCTTAAAGTGGTTGACAGAAGAAAAAAAGATAACACGACTTAACGTCTAATATTGGCAGTAAGTTTTTAAACAGTTAATAATTCTAAAAGTGTTAGGAAAATGGAAATCAAAGTTAAGCTAATTTATTTATTTCAAAACTGGAAAAAAATTTGAAAAGCTAAAATGTTGGAATTCATTGAATTAAAAGTTCTTTGGATAGTAGCTCCAGTTTCCTTTCTTGTTCTTGTGAAGCAAAGACATGCTCGGAATGTTTCGTTTTAAACCATAATCCATGAGGAGCAGACCCAGGATTAAAAGGAAGACCAAGGCCAAGACAATCAGCACCACCTCCAGGGCAAGACGGTCAAATTCAGGCATTTCCATGGTTGGAAGTTCAACGGGTAGAAATCCCACTAAAAAAAAAATATATTAAGAAGATTTTTTTGAGAAAAATTGCCTTTTGACTGTTTTAAAAGTTGAATAAAATAAGTTTTGAAGACATTATTTACCTTCTTTTTCTTCCTCGGGAAAAAGCGCAATGCACAAGCCCAGCAGCAGCAGAATGATACATGTCTGAAAAAAGAAATTTTACTGTATTTTCGCTTTTTCTTAAACTTTTAAAGAATGTGTCATTAATGAAGCTTACTAAACGAGTCAAACTTGTGCGTTTACAAAAAGAATTCAACTTACCTGAACAACAACGACAGTAATTGATAAAACATTCTTCTTTTTCAACTTTTGCAAGATCCAGTACATCGGAGAGGAACGATTTATCTTATAATCAATTTTAAACATTGTTAATAGAAACTTCTATAATGAAACTGTTTCGCGGATTTTCAAGTTAGGTTTTGCGACTTTTGCAATTTCAAACCTTCTTTTTAGTGTTAAACAAAATGTTTATGTTTAAAAATGAAAAAGATAGAGTCATAAAATAGAAGTAAAACCCCTAAATAAGTAAAAATAATAATCGAAACTGTAGAAACTAGGACAAAGGTTTTAAGTAAGGAAAAGCGATCTGAGGGAATATTGCCGGCAGCTTTAATATTGGCATGTTATTCCCCTAGCTACCAGAGAGGTGTAACACGCCAGGATATCAAACCCTTTGATAATTTGATTATCATTGATGATTATGATTATAATTATAATTACTAGAAAGAATTTAATGGATGAGAAAGATAAGAGAAAGGAAATACATAAAAGCTTTTCCATAAAATGAGCTATAGGTCTGATTTGATTATCTAATAAGTATATTATAAAGATTTAAATGTCAAAAAAACAACTCAATCTAAAGTATAAACTTTAGAACAAAATCAAAAATATATTCCTTTTAATTCGCCATAACTTTTGACATGATTGACTTTTTAGTAAGCGTTTTTTAAACAATGTATGTATTTTTAAGATAATACGAGTTTAAAAAGACTAATGTGAAACATAAACATAATATTGGTGCATAGAAATTAGAAATTGTTCAAAATTTGCTATCACCGACTGACGAAAAATTGTAGTGGTATATGTTCTTTTATACAATTTTCATTCAAATTTTTGTTAGCTTAAAGTAAGGGTGAAACTATTTCATCAAGTATAGTTATTGTCAAATCCCTTTTGCACCAGCAAAATATTACACATGTGTAGCAAATTAAAAGCAACATTTACAAAATAAAAAAGTAGAAAATTAAAACTTATTCAGTAATTAACGATTTAAAAAAGCAGATATCATGGTCGGGGGAGTGTCGATTTAAATTTTTTTTCAAATCATGTTTATATGTTTCAAACTCCGGGTTTTTTTTCTTATATATCAGCTTAATTTTCAAGGGATTTTTACAAAGGAATTGAGACCTTGCCACAAACTCTGATTTTCTAATCACCATATCTCTGGAACCAAATGTTGCAGACCTTAGATATTTCAAACTATTATTATCAAATAATCTGAGTTTGAAATATCAAAGGTTTACAATATCGATTTCTAAAGATAGGTTTAAATATTTGATTTTGTGCTAAAGACTCAATTCATACATCAGTGATTTGATTTACGCAAAAAAATCACAAATCTGAATGAGTTTAAAAATTATAAAAAAATGCTCAAATATTTTTTTAAGAATTATCAAAGAAAACTGGTGCAAGGTAGATTTGAGCATTAATCTATCATAAAGTGCCCCAAAGTTGTATCCTTACTTTATGGCAAATTTTTTTATTATGTCATCTTTAACCCACATTTTTTTATCTCAACAATTGATACAAAAAATTTAAAATGTTATTTCTATTTTCAGATCCTTTAAGCAGTGATGGGAGTAAGGTAAAAAATTAGAGTAATAAAGAGAAAAAATAAAGCTCATATAAGCTAATATAAGAAAAAATTAAAAGTGAAATTATTAGCGTCTGTTTTTCCTTTAAGTATAAAACGATTATGGATTTTTAATTTTCAATTTTTGTACTGGTATATATAAAAAAATATTGTATAAAAATATAATAATAAAAATTTTAAAAATGTTCTCATCAAAAAAAAGTTAACTGTTTTTAAATTTGATTTTTATCAATTTAATGCCGTTTTTAATATTCCTAAAAGTTTCGATTTCCCAGATTTAAAGGTTAAAAAAGAAAAAAATATAACTTATGAAACGGCTGGACCAAATGGGCTGACATTTTTTTGAGGGAGTCTGTGGAAATTCCACGGGCAACGCCGAGCACTTCAACTAGTATTACATAATTTGCATGGCAATCGAATCATCTAAGTGAAATTTTTTTAGGAAATATTTACCAGCAGGGAGGCGAGGAAGAAAGGTTTTGCCCCGCCCCCTAGTAGAGGGAGGGTGTGGCCAAGTGGCGGAGAGGGGCGGAGCCAAAGATAGAAAAAGGGTGGATAGAATTCCTCATTCACAATGGAGGAAGGAGAACCATGAAATGTACAGAAGGTTCATTAATCATAGTTTTAATTATCAAATATATATAATACAGGGTTTACCTGAAAGGATGATATTTTAGAAACAACTCTATGGAACTTGTTCAGTCTTCTTTCTTTCTCTTTCTCTTTCTTTCTCTTTTAACTTTTAACGCTTTCCTTTCTCAGGATATTTGAATTTGAAAATTTAAAAATGACTTTATCAAATACAAACGACTTTTAAAAATTCATTTCGAAATAAAAGTCTTATTTTTTGTGGGTAACCCTGTATATTGGTGTTTAGCGCGAGCCTAGCGAGAACATTAAGTGAGCGTCTGCGTGGGGAGAGTGGTTGGTTGATTACAGAAGTTGACCGCGCAGCTAGGCGGGCACAGCAAGATACTAATTACAGGTCAGGAGACATTTATTTGTTTGCGGTTTTATTTTATTTCGAGCTCTGAAATTTAATTCTATTACAAACGACGTTAACCTATACGTTCCGTAACCAATGTTAAAAATCATAATTCTTGAAGTTTTTTTTTAAAATTTATAAAGATAAAAGGATTATTGTTTTTTTTTTCGGCGGATTTTTCATGGAACCTTGTAGAATTATCTTTTGGACATACTGTAGGATTACATAATATATTATAATGAACCATTTTTAGGACACCCTGTACACATAAGCTGTAATAAAGGAACGCCGTGGGATTTTCTAATGTGGTTGGATTTTATTTTGGACCATCCTGTAGGATTTTATTTTGGCGCACCCTGTATGATTTTATAAAAATCCTGCAACTAGTTTTTATGATATTTTTTGAAAATCCTACAACCAGTTTTTATGATATTTTTTGAAAATCCTACAACTAGTTTTTATGATATTTTTTGAAAATCCTGCAACTAGTTTTTACGAGATGTTTATCCTATCAATATTCTAGAAATTACCAAATCCTAGGAAGTCACCAAATTATTAATCATCAATAGCGAACCAATCAATTAATAAATTCATCTTAAAGTATTTTTGAAAGTCAGTGTTCACTGGTTTGATCTGGGGTATTAGGTATCCACAAAAAATGAGTTAATTAATACTATTTTTATGTCTATTTGATGTTTTACACATATACACATATACACATATACACATATACACATATAGAACATTATTTTGATGATCAATTTTCCAGACTTGAAGAGAAACTGAAGGAATCTATAACTTGGCGAGGTGAACTCCAGGTTAGAAAATAATCAACAAAACCTTGTGGGAAGAAATGTAAACATGGCAGTGTGCAGTACATTCAAATTGTCAACATCTGAGCGGGAAATTTAAAAGACTCTCGTTGAACGAATCACCCGAGATTTCTTTTTGGGGTGTATACATTTGTGTAGATTTACTTCAAGAAATAGAACATAAAGAGAGAACATAAACCTAAAAATGTAAAATTATATTTCTTTCAAAATATAATGATATCTACAAAATTGCTTAACCCCTTTTGGGAAAACCGGTTTCCGATTCTGGGTTTTATGACGCTACCCTATCTTAAGACTCCAGAGAATCTAATCTTAATAAACAACCTTGGTACAACCGAACCTGGAATCTCTCTGTTAAGGATGAGTTGGACTTTTTAACTGGTGAAGTTGACCAGCTTAAAGACTCTGAAAACCAGCTGGTAGCCAGCCTCAAACAAACAAACAGACCCCTGAAGGTCACCACGTCCTGCCTACTAGCCAGGTAAATAAATCAATAAATCATCAATATTACATTATTAAGAAAAATATGAATTCACATATATATCATCTAAATTAATGTTCAGAACACAAGTTAAAACAAGCTTTTATACTATTTTACTCCATTTTAAATGATAAAAACACTGCTTCTTTTATAGTTTATTGAAAAAACAGAACAGTTGTTAACAGTTTAAACAATTTTAATTAACTGGACTGGCCAGTTGCCATTACCCTTCCCTTGGGCCATTGAGACTTAACAGGCTCGCCCATTTGAAGTGTATTTGACACAAACAAACGAAGAAACACCTGACAGATATCTAAATAATTAAATATACATATATATATACATCTACCTGATACAATTATCAATATCCGATGAAGGGAGGGACGGAGAGGTGCTGACCGTGTACGTGATGGAGTAGAAGTATGCCTGGAGAAGGAGCTGGATACAATACGGGAGCAGCAGAAGCTTATCAGAGATCTTATCAAGCAGGTTAGGAATTAGTCCACTCAAAGGGATTGAAAGCGTAATTTTAAGTATAATTTCAACATTGAAGCCCAGTTTAGTTTTTTTTTCACTAAAATTGTAACCATTATTATAGTATTTGATATAAAAGTTTTTTTTTCTAAACTGAGATATATTTTTCAAGATTTAAGCCGGCGTTCAATTGAAACCGGTTTTTGGGGGATTTGAGACGCGACTTAAATTCATTAAATTCGGACGCTGCAGCCTAATTATCTTACTATCCTATCCTTCTATAATAAATCTATATTTTTCTTGTCTGAGATGGCTGAGTGAAAATTTTAAAGTAAAATTCTAAAGCAATAATTTTACATATTTTAGGAGAAATTTTCTATTTTCAGCACTTAANGTTTTGCCCCCCCCCCCCTTTTCAAAGAGCTGGATTCGCCTCTGCAGAGAATTCAGTTTATATATATCTTAAATGCTGAGTGTAAAGAGTATAAAGCCGTAAAATTGGAGTGCACGCTAGTGTATTGTGTGAACTTAACATGAATGACGTCACATTTATTCTGGCAAAGTCTAGAATTTACCACGATGGTAGGCGATTAAATCAATAAAAATGAAGCTGTCAATTAAAAAAGCTCCTCTTTGATTGCTTGTAAGCTTGTAATTCTAAAAAAGCTTGTTAACAATCAAACCTTCAATGAAACAGTCTTCTTCATTGTATTGATAATGATATAATCGCCTACCACTGTGTGCCCAACGAGGTTTAAGAAATTGGAGTTTAAATAATTATATTCTGGAAAGTAAAAATTGTCATTCCAAAAATACAAAAATGGAGCTTGCAAACAAAGTGACCCTTTTAAAAATGGAGGGTTACTTGAATTTACTCTTATTATACCTTTAATTTTTTAAGGCAGCAGTATGTACTTCGAACCTGAAGAAGGCTCAAGCCACTCTGGAGGGAGATTTAAGCAACAAGGTTATTATGTTAATTGATAGAAAAGTAACAATATTTACTCATTACTTATTCATTTACTCCCAGGACGCTGCTCTGGATATAGACCACAACTGCCATAACCTGCACGGTAACAGCTCAGGACTGGAGCTACATGGACGGATAGAGCACGGAGGAGGAGAGGGAGATACGGTTTCATGGGCAGACAGAACTAGGAAGAATATTATATTCTCTCAAAGTATTTTAATTTGTAATAATTTCTTTTTTTTACAAAATATTCACAACATTTTAAACAATTATCAAAATGGAATTCAGAGGACCATTTAATCTTTAGATTATGAAATTTGGTATTTTAAGAGTTCAAGGTCGAAATCAAAGTCCTATTCTTTGTCGGAAATTAAAACACAAATTAAGCTTAAGAAAGAATTCCGAATTCTTCCAGTTGGGAGGGAGGTCTCAGCCCCCTTGTGAACGTCCCCAATTAGTGATTTTTTTTAGAAAGTCGGTCTGCAAGTGAACGTTTACGAGCTGAAGCTGAACGAGTATTGACTGCAGCAGCAAACTCCATGGTGAAAGCATGGAACAAAACTAACCAGGCATTCTCAGTTCGTATATCTGAATGCTCTGATACTCATGCCAAGCTTCAGGGTCATCTTTCCCTTACATTACAGGTGCAGAGCCCGCGATTTAAAAACTTCGGCTCGAGCCGTAATCCCTTAAACCCGACTTTAAGACCCAATCTTCGACCCAACTCTGACGACAGCTTGTGTCACGTGATTGACAGCTGCAAGATCTTCGACTCGACTTAAGGAGTTAAGTCCAATGAAAATAAAACTGACCTTGGTTGGTTTTAGTGGAGAATAAGGCTCAATGTTGAGTCTTGTTCTCATAAGAACCCGGAATGCACCAATTCCTACAATGAAAATCCACCAAATAGAATATTAAACCGGTTTTTTGAACTCAACTCTGTGAAAAATAAGATGCAGCTAGAATCCGAAAGCTCAAGCCGTAAATAAGGACCAACGACAGCTTAGACCCGAGCCGTATTTTCCCGAATTTTTTTAATCGCGGGCTCTGGAGAACTTTAAAATCTTAAAATGTCAAAACTGCACTTTCTTCAATAAAACGATTTAAAAAGAAAGGGTTTAAAAATAATAAACGAACACATTCTTAGTCATTAGAATTTTAACGTTTTAAACAAACAATACATCAATAAAGTTTAATGCAAATGAAAAAGTTTGAATTATAGGAACTGTATGATCTTGATAAGTATATCTGAATATTATAGGAACTGTATGACCTGGATAAGTATATCTGAATTGAATATTATAGGAACTGTATGATCTGGATAAGCATATCCGAATATTATAGGAACTGTATGATCTTGATAAGTATATCTGAATATTATAGGAACTGTATGACCTGGATAAGCATATCCTAATATTATAGGAACTGTATGACCTGGATAAGTATATCCGAATATTATAGGAACTGTATGATCTGGATAAGCATATCCGAATATTATAGGAACTGTATGACCTGGATAAGCATATCCGAATATTATAGGAACTGTATGACCTGGATAAGCATATCCGAATGCTACATAACGCCATCAAGGCGAAGTCTTCGCCACTACGTCTGGCGCAGTCAAGACTTGAGTTAAGGACACATCGACCGGAAAAAGAGGCAACTAAAGATAATCCACAGATCAGGTTAAAGTAGTAAAGGGAGTGTTCGCGAAAAATGAAAGGGGGTGAAGGCTGATCCCGAATTGAATTCGTTATTAATCGCTACTAATTCTACTTCTGTTACGTCTATAAGGAGAAAATGGTTGTTTTTTACCAAAGAGTGTAGGATTTAGAAAAATTTGAAGAGATGGATATTCAATTAATTCAATTCACGATCAGCCTATTAGGAAAAATACTTTAAACCAGATTTTTTGAATTGAAAACACAACTTAGCCAACCTCATCTCTTAAACACAACTTAGCCAACCTCATCTCTTAAACACAACTTAGCCAACCTCATCTCTTAAACACAAGTTAGCCAACCTCATCTCTTAAACACAGGTTAGCCAACCTCATCTCTTAAACACAAGTTAGCCAACCTCATCTCTTAAACACAACTTAGCCAACCTCATCTCTTAAACACAACTTAGCCAACCTCATCTCTTAAACACAGGTTAGCCAACCTCATCTCTTAAACACAAGTTAGCCAACCTCATCTCTTAAACACAGGTTAGCCAACCTCATCTCTTAAACACAGGTTAGCCAACCTCATCTCTTAAACACAACTTAGCCAACCTCATCTCTTAAATGTGTCCAAAACAATGTTTGCAAGAAAACCTTGTTGTCTTGAATCGTGGATTTTAAAATTATTTTTGTTTCTTTTTTAAATGTTACTTTCAATAATTTTAGTTTGGTCAACGAGGTTTATGAACTACAAAGCCAGCTTGCTAGACTTAACACGAAGCTTGATGATGCTGAAGTAGCAAAAGTAAGATTTAACATTTTTTAAGTTAAAAGTTTTTAGTGGCTCGTAATGTGATTGTATATCAACAAATGATAAAAAAAAACATTTGTAATGTCCTTTTTGGAGACTAATTGTATTTTTCAAATATTGAGCTATTTTAAAAATTATATGTTTTGTAAGTATTAAAATACAATTGACCTTGTTAAAAACTTGAATTGTGGACAATGAAATCAATGCTTAATCTCCCCTAATGTTAAATTTAAGATTAATATGAATCTTGAAAAGATTATAAAATTCGACCAATAAAGTGAAGAATTCAGAATTCCGAACAGCCAATCAGAAGCAGAGAAATTTAAAATTTTGTGCACCATTTAATGAGAAAAAAATCTCTCATTTGCCGGAATCTGGTATCCAAAAAGAGAGAAGGAGAGCGGATTAAGTAGGAAATTAAAAGTGCCCAAATCGGATATTTAGATTAAGCTATGAGAATTAAGGGTATCCAATTCTAAAGTTCACAGTTCAGAGCTGGAAACTTCTGAATTTAGGGAACTGATTTTATTGGTTTAAGTAAATTAATTCGATTTAAATCAATTCAAAAGTTAATAGCTCTGTTCTATTTTTACATCTATTATTAGAACATGTTATCATTACAAAATTATTATTATTATTATTATTAGAAAGATGATACAAGAAGAGATCTGGAGAATGATTTGAAAATAAAGGTAAACTTAATGTTTGTTTTTTCCTCAAATAAAATGTTTTCATTTTTTTTGCTTTAGACACTTAGCCTGATAATAGACCGACAAAAATGCATGGCAACTAGGCTTAATTTTCCTTATCATACCAGGTGTAATAATAATAATAATAGACCTCATCTCTTAAACACA